AGGGGCTCATCTTAAAACAGTATACTTCCTCTTTAGTGGGGTACTTGTGGTTTTTAACTAGCATTGTTTTTCTTCCTTTGTGTTACCTTCCTTCATGATAGAAGGCTGAGTCTTTGAGGCAAACAGTCTAGTCTTTTATGCCATCCATCCATCCTTTCATTCATTTATCCATTCACTTATTCACTTATCCATTATTTGTTCACTTATCCCTTCATTCATTCACTTATCTATCCATCCACTTACCCATTCATCCATTCTTCCACTCTCTTATCCATTCATTCACTTATCCATTCAACACTTATTTCTTGAACAAAGTCTCTGTGTCAGCCTCTGTCCAGGTGCTGGGGGTACAGATCTAATGTCCTCATTTCTAGAAACCTGCCGATGGCCTGCTCACCTTATCTGTGGCTTGTATTACTAACACTCTAAATACTCTAGGTATTTCCTGATATCGAGAAACCCACATTTACAAATTATTATTGAGGGATGTTGAGTACACTTCCCTTTTCAAAGGGATTCACTGCCAGATTAAAGAAACTGAGCATTTGAGAATTTGAAGGGACCTTAGGGACTGTCTCATTTAATCCCTTTATTAGGCGGCTGTGGAAACTTAGATTCAAACAGCTTAAGAGACTTGCTTGCAGTTATTCAGCAAATGGCAGAGCCAGGGGTCACGTCCAACATTGCTCTTTCATTCTCAGGACAGGTCTCTTCCCATGATGCCTTGCTATCTCTCAAAGGATGACGACGACGATGATGATCTTGAGACCAGTATTTATTGAGTGCTTTTTACATGCTGGACACTGTTCTGTGTGTTTTCTGTATGTTGCAACCTTGTTCTCACAGTAATCCCATTAACAGCATGTAAATTGAGGCACAGAGAGGTTAGGCAACTTGCCTGAGAACACACAGCTAAAAAGCAGAGGTCCCAGGATTGTAGTACAGGCAGTCTGGCTCCCAAGCCCACACTCTGAATCACAACACTCTACTGTCTCCCTTGAGAGAATAACTCCCTGACCAGAAGTTCATGTACAGAAATGTGTTTCCATCCACATACTTAAAGGAAGGTACTGCTATATTGAGCATAATTTTAATGCTGTTTAAACCAAAGTGGTATCATACCTTTGGGCACATTGTTTAAAGTCTTTAGTTAGTATGTTGTCAGATTACCCACCACCCACTGCTATCTGGTCCACTCTGACTCCTAGGGACTGTAAAGGATAGAGTAGAACTTCCCTAGGGTTTCCAAGCTGTACTATCTTTAGGGAAGCAGACGGTCACATCTTTCTTCCACGGAGCAGGTGGTGGGTTGGAACCACTGACCTTTCTGTCAGCAGCCTAGCTCTTTAACCATTATGCCCCCAGGGCTCCCTATGTTGTTAGGTCAGGTGTCAATCCTGACTCACAGCGACCCCACATGAGGAGGAAACCTTCCCCAGAGGGTTTTCTAGGTTGTAATCTTTATAGGGACAGATCACCAGGTCTGTCTCCTGTGAAGCTGCTGGGTGGCTTCTAACTGCCACCAGGGCTCCTTCCTTGGTGTGTCCCTAGCTGTAATTAACGTTTGCCCAGCTCTGCTGGTAAACCAGCATGACAGTAGTTCATAGGATGTGTGTGACCATGAGCAGAATTGTGGTCTCAGTTATTACAGGTGAAATGGGACCGTGGCCTGCCGTGCTAGAAATACTTGCAAAGGACTTTCCAGAATGAGGATGTTTGGAAATAAACACACTCAAATCCTGTCTGTGTGTGGTTTTCTTGAGAAGCAACTGCAGTTAGAGGACTGCTTAGAAAAAAAGCAAGGCTCTCTTAGCAGGGATTGTAAACGATGGGACAGTGACGAATGAGCTCAGGCACAAAACATCTGCTGTTCTCAAAACTCTTCTACAGGGAGTCTTGCAGTTGATTTTTTTTTTTTTTTTTAAATTTGTGATTGATTAATTTCCCAGAACAGCATTTTCTCTTCACTTTTTATAGCTCAGGGGTTTTGACTGTAAGTAGGAAGTGGCAATAAAGCCCAGAATCTTAAAAAAAACCCAAAAAACCAACCAGTTCCCTAGTTAGTTTTTCCTGTGAAGTAGTTCTGGAAAATCTAAACTTCAATGCATCTATTTCAGCAACAACCCCCTGAATAATAAAATGTCATCGAAAGGGGAAAAGAAAGAACGCTATGAACCTTAAAGAAACTCTGGCATTTTTAAAAAAAATCTATTATCATAATTCATATGAGCCTGAAGTCATTTCGACCATCTTGGGGGTGTGTGTGGGGGTAATTATTTGCAAGAGAACATTATTGGCTAAGGACAAATGGGTTGCTATTTGTTTTCTCTGTTTGTCATAATGATTACAGGCTGGCGATGGTGTTTAGCAATACGATCCAGCAGGTCAGTTATGACAACTTCATCACCGTTATTAACACCTTTTGTTTGCCATGAACACAAAAAGCTGTTCGATATTAAGAGAGCACGGGGAGAGGGAGAGGAGAGGGGGTGGAGAAAGTGAGGAAAAGGAGATAGGCTGAACCCAAGTTCACACACTATTAATATCAAGAAAAATCCCCTTGGGTAATTGAGTCAGCTGACTTCAAGGCTGGAAGGGCCTCAGTTAGGGGGCCGAATTTTGGACTCCCTGTTCTTTCTACTAGAAGAATAAACTGCATGCATTTATAGCTGCTCATCATGTTTGCCACTTCTGGTTTCTAGAAATGCCCCAGGGAGAGGTTATTTTGGCCACAGGGTCTTCCTGCTTCAAGTGTAATGACTGTGAATATATAGTTTCAGGGTCTTCTCTAGCTTGCTGGGGTCAAAGGAAGCCAAACGAAGAGAGGAAGGACAGTGACTGTGGTGAGGCTCCAGTGGAGGTTAGTTAGGCATGGTGCTAGAGGGTTTATGAGCCTATCACCTCCTCCAGCCTCTGACAACCACTCATTCCACCTTACGGATGAGGAAGGGAGCACAGAGACATAAAACAGGCCTCTGACCTCACCCAGCAGAGCAGGGATTTGAATTCAGGTGTGTCTTGTTCCAAATTTACTAAATCAAGCTAAAAAAAAAAAAAAAAGCAACCAAACTCATTGCCGTCGAGTCACGAACCAGAAAATATATTTTCTTAATTGGCATTTATTTCAGGATCTGATCATGTGAAAGCTCAAATTATAAAAAGATAATGGAACATATCAGATTCATTAGATCAGGTTCTACCTTTCGGGGAACTGACTCCTCGTCTTGAGGTGACCCTAGACAAGCCATTCTGTGTTCCTGTTTCTAGGCATAAAAAAAAGTAGGTGGAAGATGAAATTTGGCACGTGGCCGAGACCTATCTTTGTCTCCTTAATTGATTTTGTGTTTGCTATTCATTTATGCTATGCTGCCACACGCCTTCGACTCGCGTGCCCACTTCTTACATTGTTTTTGTCCTTCTTCTGGGCCTTACACATATTGTGCCTTGAATCTTGAGAAATGTCTGGTAGAAGTAGCCAAGTTTGATGGCAGGCATAGCAGAGAAACAAAGCAAAGGAGAGTGAAAGAGAAAGAGAGAGGGAGAGGGAACACACAGGAGGGCAGGGTTCTTGTGGTGACGGAATCAGACTGCTTCTGCTGTGGCATTCCATGAAATGTCCAGCAGTCGACTTTACCTATTTTGCATCTATAAACTCTGTAAGCCATTGACAGAACATTTACTTAAATCCCAATGTGACCCATTCTGATGAATTACGGGGACTCTTTTTTTTTTTTGTAGTTCTCAGCTCTGGTCTTCCTAGGCTCCCTGAGTGTCCCTGAACACCACCCAGCTCGGGTGCCACATGGATCCTGAACGTGGACTTGTGTGCATGCCTGTGGAAATAAGCAAATGAAAACACCCAGGCGCAGAAACCAAGTGTGAGCATCAGGAAGCTGGAAATTCCCTCATGTTGTGGGTGTTCAGGCCCTCCTTTTTTCCACTTCCCTAAATCACCCTTGTGGTCTCTGCGCATAGTAGGTGCTTCCTAATTGTGTCTAGAATTAATGGTGAAACCACCAGCGGCAGAATACTGTAGTTTTCCTTCTCAAAGACCACCTTCACACAAACTAAAAGCTCTCAGATGAGTGCAAAGAAGTGTGGACCCCCTGGAGAACACCTCCAGCGGAAAGCTCCCCACTCAGCCAGCTTCTTAGGGGCAGCTCGGCTCCCACGGGAGCTCTCACCTCACGTTGCCCCTCTTAACGGGAAACAAGCAACTTTGTCCAGCTTTGAGGTCTCTCTTGACTGAGTTGACAGAGGGATGGTGCAGGCTGGGGGACCCAGCGACTGGGCGCTGTCCAGTGCAGCCAGGACCACTGGCTTCAGCATCACCTGCAGGACAGGTGGGGCTTGCGCATTCTTGCAGGCCACTGTCCGGTTTGAAAACTACCCTAGGCTGGGCATGGGGACTTTTCCTACTGCCGCTGAGGTGTTGGGTGCCGAGCACCTCAAGGCACCCTGGGCTTGCAGGGGTCCTGCGGGTGAGAGAGGGCGTGAGAGCGCCCGGGACTGCAGCGGGAAGTCCGGACCGCCAGCGAGGAGGAGGGGGAGAAGAGGAAGTCTCTCGTGGCCACTCCGAGGGGAAGGCGGGAGGGTGCCCACAGGGACTTGGTCAGGAGACCAGGAGAGGCGGGCCTGTCGCTCAGCCCGAGCTCCGAGGGGGCACTGGCGGTTATCGCGCGCTCCCCCACGACCCCTCGCGGAAGGGACGAGGACGG